AGTATGATGTTGATAATAATAACTACACTTAATACAAACTCAAATAATAAAAAAACAGCGATATTCGCTCTTGTACAAAGTTTTGATCCGAACTTACATATAATGAAATTATTGGAAAAAGTGAACACCCATTTTAAATTACCACAAGCCGCCACTGATTGATTTTGTTCTTGCTTGTTTGGAGGTTCGAATAGGTCTCTCTGGTTGAAAAATGTCCCGTCACGTCAAGTTAAGAATGTGTCCATAACACTGTCTTGTGATTGGTTTAAAGAAATGGTGTAGTTTGACGAACTGTTGAACAAGAGTGTGCATTTATTTTAACAATTTATTTTTAACAGGCTTATGTGGGTGCGAGTGAAATAGGTCTGTGAGTGGAAACGAGTCAGAGCTTATGTTTATTTAAACGGAATTTTTCCATAAAGTGAGAAAGCTATTTCTCGCCTGTGTTCCCAACTGCTTGTATGTGTTTTATTACCAAGCGGAATTTTTTTTAACTATTTGAAAATACGTTAAACGGAATTTACCAGGGTTGGCTTTGATTTTAGTTTATTATTTATGTAATTGCAACATGATTTTATTTTATGTAAGAATATTAAATTAGGTAATGTAAACTACAGATGGAATTATGCACGCTACACTCTGTATCTACTTTTTTTCATTATGTTTAGTAAGTATGGATCGCGATAGAGGACAGAATACAATGATTTTAAATAGGTAGAAATCGTTTTAAAATAAATATTTATTTGATTTGAAATTAGTATTCAAATAAAATGATCATTTCAATAATTATTTAGAATAGAAAAAAAATATTTTAAAATTCTCTAAAATTCATTTATTAGGTACTATCACTATTTCTTCTTAAAGTCATCGTTGCAACATCGTCGAAGCACGCAAAGCTTAGCTTGTATGTACTACAATAAATTCTTCTTTCGTTTGCCAGTGTAAAAAATATAGTTTAGCACTCTATGAAGATAAAATATATTTTTATAAGAAACACTATAAAAATTCATGCAAATTGTAAAAATATCTGGCCATCTCCAATTATAGAGTATCCATCAGGTCTAAGTCAATTCTAAGATAAAATATCAAAAGTTCACATTCATATGTATCAGTTTCCCAGGGAACGCCATTTGATTTAATATTAGCGCTTGTTCTAGTTCTAGTATATACAGGGTATCCAGACGAAAACAAAAGAGCCATTTTTAGGAACTGTATTTTGATTCTCGTTAGGATATTATATTTGTATATTTACATTCATGATTCAAACATAAAAGGTATAATAAAAATTTTGAGTCATGTTAGAATTTTTTTTTAAGTTAAAATTTAAAATAAAAGGGTTTTTCGAGAGCACCAGAGCTGGAATTTATCATTATTTAAATGCTCTCTTCTCTTCATACTCTTGCATTTTGTCAATAACCCATTTTATCTATTTTTTCTTATCTTCCCCTTGGCGAATTAGCTTCAAACAAAATATAAACGTTGAAATGTGTGATTTTGTATCCAACAAAAGGTAACATATTTAATTTTACCATCTTCCCTTAAAGAAAATTGTAAAATTATAGGTATATGAAATTGAGCTTAATCACAATAAATTTCTCCTTCCAATAATATTATTCAAGATTATTTTCTATGTACAACAGGTGTTTTATAAGTAGCCATTTTAGACTACAAACGCTCGGAACCATCAAATTTTGATCAAGGGGATATCTTATCATACGTCATTCCATTCCCTCCGTCACAAATTCAAGGAAAGATGGGATGAAACAAGAAACTGCAGAGTTGTCAGGGAGCTCTTAGGTTATCCTGACAACACTGCAGCAAACAAATACTTGACTATGACTAGACAGAATCTGCGCCTAGTCACAGGTATTCTGACAGGCCATTGCCAAGTTCGAAAGCATCTCCATATCATGGGGCTGTCTGCAGAGGGTGCGGACAAGAAGATGAGACCATCGAACATATCCTTTACGATTGCTCGACGCTCTCATTTATTAAAATATTTGTGTTCGGCTAGTATCGGCTAACACCGGCCGATATAAGAGAAGAACCTCTTGGCGACGTTGTCAACTACATTAAATCTGTAGGCTGGCTCACGAGTTAGGAGGTGCCTATCATCTCAGGAGGATGCACAATGGGCCTAACGAGGCTCAAGTGCCGTGAGGTAACCCACCCTCCACACGTTACAGATACAGAGATCCCCTCCGATACTCTAACCAATATAATTTAAATATGGAAAGTACCACGTATGACACAAAGGGTTTGTACGGATTGTCTTGTTTATCTTACCTCACCAAGTGCAAAAAGGCTTCTCCCTTAATGAATTTACTCTTGGTCTCTTCATCGATATTTCTGCTGCATATGATTCAGTTAATATTCCTCGGTTATATTCCATTTTACTAGATGAGAATGTCCCAGTGGATTTGGCTAATTTAATACATTCCTTTTTGGTCCAAAGAGAACTATTTGCTCGAGACAATTTGGGTCACATCCATGGTCCTCAAACTACTAATCAAGGCCTCCCTCAAGGTTCTCCGCTTAGTCCCATTTTGTTTAACCTTTATACCTAGTCTCTGTTTGATATTCTGCCTAATAATTTTAAATTAATTCAATATGCTGATGATCTGGTAATACTGGTTAATGGATTGAATGTTTACAATATGATTCCACGCATCAACTCCTTTTTGTTAAAATTAGAGTCCTGGTTGGAAAAACATGACCTTAATCTTTCATTGCATAAAACTTCGGAATTATTATTCACTAAAGGGGAAACTAAAATTACTTTACCTAATATCATCTATAAATCTCAAATCATTCAATGGAAGGATAAGCGTAAATACCTGGGGGTAGGCATTCATAAGAATCTTAAATGGAATTATAACTTTAATGATTTAAATGTTAAGATCAATCGTAACCTCAACGTCATGCGTGCCCTTTGTGGGACTTGGTGGGGATGTGACCCACAAATATTAACAATTTTACATTAATCAATCATTTTGTCTCACTTTGATTATGGATGTCAAATTATAATACCGTGTTTCCAGGATATACAAAAGAAGTTAGATACACTTCAGAATCAAAGGGTGTATGAAATCTACCCCAATTCTAGCCTTATTGACTGAGACTGGTGAACTACCCCTTAGATTTAGAAGAGAATGGATATCGCATAACTACCTAATTAAAAATGTCTGGTAAATAATCCCATTATCACTGCTTTAAAAAAACTAGAAATATTGTGGGATCTCTATCTATTGGGACAACAAAAATAATCCTCTACTAATCCAGCTCATCCCTCAATTGGATGTCGTGAATCCTCACTTATATACTTCAGAGCTTTTACCATGTTATAAATTTGACTTGCAACCCCAATAGGCCTCCATTTCTATTAAAAACATTTTCGCTACCCTACCAAATCTGAAAGTTTAGGAAATGTACAATATCAGAATATCATCGGGAAATACCCATCTTACACCAAGTTTTTTACTGATGGCTCAATAGACTCTTCCGGTCACTCCGGGTTTGGAGTGTTTAGTCAAGATATAGATTATGCATTCTCAAGTAATCTTCCTTTCCATACTCAAATTTGTACAGCTGAAGTTGTAGCTATCAATAAGGCATTGCAAGTAATATTAAACAAAAATATCGTTCAATCCATTATCCTCTCAGACTCCAAAGCTGCACTTCAAAAAATAGCAAGATCATGCTTTTCCAGGGAAACTGAACATTGTTAATACTTGACAAAGGACGGTATCTTACTCGCAAAAGGTGAACATGAACATATCAAAATAATTCTGGCATGGATTCCAGGCCACGCTGGGATTCTGGGTAACTTCAAGGCTGATCAATTGGCAAATATAGGAAGATCTCTAAATATTCCAGTGAATATCTAATTAAACTATCATAATTTCTTTCCATTCATCAGAAACATTGTGAATTCAAGATGACTTGAAGAATGGAATAGCCTCAAGAGTAGGAAGAATTCCTTTTATTCTAAAGTCGTTCCACGATTTGATAAAATCCCTTGGTTTTTAAATTTTCCCTATAATGACAGAAGATATTTAACTACAATTAGGATGAGGACATTGCCTATCACCATAACACTTATTTCGTATAGGAGTAAAAGATGATCCATATTGTGAGTGTGGTCAAATTGGCTCATTATCTTTGAATGTCCCATAAATACGGTGGCAAACTTTGATTTATACTCTGAATTGGCAAAAACTAAGCTCTCTACTCCCTTTGACATTTGTTTTATGTTTGCTAACCTCAACAATAGCATATTAAACATTCTAATCAAATTTTTAAATATATTTAAAATTCAATTATAACCCTAATACTTTATCCTCTCTTTCAGTCCTGGGTACTCCTACTATTTACCTTCGGCAGTTTTGTGGTTGTGTTCAGCTTGGCGACTGCCCCCAAGCGAGAATATAGTCACATTGCTCAATTCTCCAAGAAAATATCTTTAAAATGATGTGTCATACTTGGGACTTTCTCTGTTTAAAATGAATTGGTTAGTGTCACGGTTGGGAGGGGCTTACGTAAGACAATTGAGGATATGATAAGATGTCCCCCTTTAATCAAAAACTGACGGGTTCAAAGGTTTGTCTAAAAGATCGACGCAGTTCTTGATTAAAACTCTGTTTCGTTTTTGTCTGGTCACCCTGTATACGTGTAAGGAACTATCCGCTATATAAACTAAATAGTTCCATAAAACTGCTTCCAGTTTGCGTTTATTACTGCTGTAAAATGTTCAAAAAACGCCCTCAAACTTAGCTGATATTCTGTTTTATAAAAAAAATGTTCTGTAAACATCCTTTCAGCTTTTATAAAGTAAATATCAAATTGGTACTTGGTAGTGCATAATTTTGAATCTTATCTCTTATAGTTTATGCCGGTCCTGAAAAACATGTATGTGTTTTCATCAAATTATAGTCCTTATCTTTATAATCATACTCATTTATTTGTTACTGCAAAATAGCAATTCATATTTTTGTTTTCAGTACTTGATGTGACAACGACGTTATCTACATCATGGCGAAAGCAGTAGTAGACGACAAGGAACACGGTAAGTTATCAATACCTTAAAGCAAAATAACAAGTTAAACGTAAAGTTAGACATATTTTTAAACAAAATTTTATCAGAATGCTATCATTTGAAGTAGTTTTGTGCAAACAGTGATGTTACGACGATGTAAAGTAGAACATATTTTGTAATTTGTGATGGTTTACAGAGGCAAGTAAAAATATTATTCTTTTTCATTATTAGAAACGAGTGATATTAGGTGGTGTACAAAATTTTTCCAGCGGTTTGATTCGAAACACGTTTTTACAAGTGTTTCCTTATACCTTGAATTTTTAATTATTGTTTAACGAGACTAATAAGTGTCTACATAAGGTACGTGCTTTAGCTGACGAAATAACAGCTATCTTAATAATTGGTGAAATTGGAAAATTTACATGCAGCGGAACGCATTTTTAATCTAGTTGCAGAAATGGTAATAAATCCTACTTCTTTCACAGTCCAAGTAAAGTCAGTCAACGTATAGTATACAAGGTGTTGACCAAAAACAAATTTAGTCCATACTAATTGGTACCGGTGTGAACTTGGCAGCCAAAAGCTAGCGGCCAATTTCCCGAAGATGCCCGAAAAATCAGTAGCGTCTTTAAAAAGGTTAAAACTTTACAAATTGGTATGCAAGTAAATAATAATATTATTAACAATTTAAGAACAGTATTAGTTCCTTACGAGGGGTCTAAGTTGGTTCAATGGGGTAGCAGCCGTTTTTGAAATATTGGAAAAAGCTATTTGGTACAGAAGGGAAAAAGTTAACACTTTAAAAATTGGTATACAATTAGATAATAATATTATAAACAATTTGAGACTAGTCTGATTTTCTTACAAGGGGTCTAAGTTGGTTAAATGTGTATATTGTTGTATTCTTAGAATTTATAATTTATAATATTTTAGGAGGTAGGAATAACTGCTTTATAATTTTTATAAGAGAATTATCATGTATCCAAAAAAGAGGTGACTCTTACACTTAGATGTGAAACAACTACTTAAACTGAACGCAATAAAGAAATTTAAGAAATAAATACATTTCAAACACAGTACCAGTAGGTAGGTACTTAAAACATAAAATTGTAAATGAATGAGTGAGGATAATTTTTAAGTGTACAACTAAAATTAAACAACTAACAAAAGATGCAAGAACCTGAATATAGTTTTTATGTGACCATCCAATATTGTATTTAAAAATTATATGGCTTTTATCCTTCCTGCATTACTCCTTACAAACAAATATTAGAAATGATTGAAATCCTCAAAAACCATTATAAATTTCAATAATAATGTTGGTATACAGTATGAAAAAGCACAGCTACTTAACCTATAAAAATGTTTTTTTTTTGAGTTATAACTCAGTGGTAAACGAGTTTTCATGCAACTTTATATAATGCAATGAGAATGAAGATATAACGTAATAGTAATACTAGTATATTATGTAACGATCATGTAATAACCATTACATGAGAGTTGCATACGCTTTTTTTTCTACACCCGATAAATAATCAATAACTATAAATATTATATTTTTATTTGTATTCAACACAATAACAATAATTACTTGTATTTCTATAAAAAATTCTACAAAATTGTAATTAATGGTATTACTTCGGGTATTGGTATTTCCATAGATTTTTGGGGAAAAATATTTTGTACTGAATTTACTGCTTTCTCCGATATATGTGGAGGAGTCGATGGTAAGTCTTCTATATCGCTGATATCAGACATTTTGATAATATAATTATCGAAGGTTAGCTCTACAAAAATTTAATACGTACTGATTTTGACAACTAAAACATAGGAACCTAGGACAAACGTCAACTGCACACAATGCTTGATTGAAAAATTATGGGTTTCTATTGATTAAAAATCTGTATCGTTATGAAAAATCTGTATCATAATGGGTATCATTATGAAACGGATTATGGGCAGATAAGTGCATTATTATAATATGGATGTACAAAAATAATATTATGATACATGCAAATGAAACTTATATAATTAAGTTATAATAACCATATGTTGTGCACATAAAAGTAACGAAAGTATGAGTTAAATAAATTTAACGTGGTGTTTATATGTAATAATTACAATTTTTGGTCATAAGCAGATTCAGCCATTTTATTCAGTAAAAAGGAACACAAACTTTCTGCCATGTTGGTAAAAAATAAACAAAAAATAAAATTTGGATCTGTTTCTGTGTTATAATTGCAATATGTATGCAAAAAAGATTACAATAAAGTGTTTGTATTTAAAATAATTTTTTCGTAATTTTTTTTTTAAATACATTGAACCAACTTAGACCCCTCGTAAGGAAATCAGACTAGTCTCAAATTGTTTCTAATATTATTATCCAGTTGTATACCAATTTTTAAAGTGTTAAGTTTTTCCCTTGTATACCAAATAGCTTTTTCCAATATTTCAAAAAGGGCTGCTACCCTATTGAACTAACTTAAACCCCTCGTAAGGAAATCAGAGTAGTCCTAAATTCTTTCTAATATTATTATCTAGTTGTATACCAATTTTTAAAGTGTTAACTTTTTCCCTTCTGTACCAATAGCCTTTTCCAATATTTCAAAAACGGCTGCTGCTCCATTGAACCAACTTAGACCCCTCGTAAGGAAATCAGACTACTCTCAATATTATTATCTAGTTGTATACCAATTTTTTAAGTGTTAAGTTTTTCCTTTCTGTACCAAATAGCTTTTTCCAATATTGCAAAAAGGGCTGCTACCCTATTGAACTAACTTAAACCCCTCATAAGGAAATCAGACTAGTCTTAGATTGTTTTTAATATTATTATCTATTTGTATACCAATTTTTAAAGTGTTAACTTTTTCCGTTCTGTTCCAAATAGCTTCTTCCAATATTTCAAAAACGGCTGCTACCCCATTGAACCAACTTAGACCCCTCGTAAGGAAATCAGACTAGTCTCAAATTGTTTCTAATATTATTATCTAGTTGTATACCAATTTTTAAAGTGTTACGTTTTTCCCTTCTGTACCAAATAGCTTTTTCCAATATTTCAAAAACGGCTGCTACCCCATTGAACCAACTTAGACCCCTCGTAAGGAAATCAGACTAGTCTTAAATTGTTTCTAATATTATAATCTAGTTGCATATCAATTTGTAAAATGTTAAGTTTTTCCCTTCTGTACCAAATAGCTTTTTCCAATATTTCAAAAAGGGCTGCTACCCTATTGAACTAACGTAAACCCCTCGTAAGGAAATCAGACTAGTCTCAAATTGTTTCTAATATTATTATCTAGTTGCATACCAATTTTTAAAGTGTTAAGTTTTTCTTTTCTGTACCAAATAGCTTTTTCCAATATTTCAAAAAGGAAATAAGACTCTTCTAAAATTGTTAATAATATTATTTATTTGTATACCGATTTGTAAAGTTTTAACCTTTTTAAAGACGCTACTGATTTTTCGGGCATCTTCGGGAAATTGGCGGCTAGCTTTTGGCTGCCAAGTTCACGCCGGTCTAATTGGTGCATTAAATGTCAGATGACCCCGACCGAAGACTGGAATTCTTTGAAAATATGTCCACTGTGTGAAAAACAACTATTTGCTTTAGTGATGAAAGTAATTTCTGTAAAAGTAATTATTTATTTTAGTGACGAAAGTAATTTCTTCCTTAATGGAAATGTTAACACACTAAATATGAGGTGGTATTGCAGAGACACAAATCCCCACGTTTCGTGAAAAAAAAACAGTTTACATTATGAGTAATTCTCTGGGCAGGTATTTTGGGAGCCACATAGTAGGGGCCATTTTTTGAATTTTAACTTAATCGGTGAAGTGTATCTGGAGATATTACAAAACGTAATTGGTCCATTAATTCTTGAAATTCTGGTAGGCAGTCAGACGAAATTTGGTAACTAGGAAATAACGTTTCAACAGGACGATGTCCCTGCACAATTAAGGAGCGGGTCCATAGAACCCACACACCTTGATAGAGCACGGCTAGCGCGTCTGGAGTTTACGCAGCAATCGCTCATTGCTTCGGCATGATCGGACCAAAATAGAGTTCAAAAACATGTTTGACTGTAAAATCGAGAGGTTGGTTCATAGTAGGCCTCTTCGGATTCTTCAAAAATACGTTGAGATTTATCAGAGGACTAGTTGACCAGTGGACAGTTTAATAGTTGTACGCGACGAATATTTTGGAATTAAACTGTTGTAAATTTAAAGTTAAGTTTATTTGCTGATATGAGAGTTTGCCTGTGCTGTGTATACTTTTTGTGTGTTTAATTTATTAATAGTAAACTTAGAAACATAAAGGATTAAACATATTTAAAGGTGTTTCCTATAAAAGCAAAAAGGCATCATTTTTAAAGTGTATGTTAACCCTTTTCTAGTTTTGGCGGGAGCATTCTAGAATTTCACCAACATTTTTAATGTGTATATAAATATTGGTGGAAGAACACGGACCAGTCAGTCAGTTGTATACAAAAGAGTTGTGAATATTAAATTTAAGTGTTGGACAGAAAAGATAAATTTGTAATAAATAAATTAGAATTGTGCCTAAGTATTATATAAATAATTAGTACGTCATATATAAATTGTAAGTAAAGTGTTTTAAATAAATAAACTATAAATAAATTAAACAAACGTTACATTGGTGTTAGAAGTGGGATTGTAAATAAATAGTGGACTAAAATGGCTAAAAACTGTGTGATTTAAAAGTGGCGTCGAGAATTAAAAGATAGTGATCTGGGGACGACAGAGAAGAAAGCAGAGCTGGCAGTACGGCTTAAAAGAAGCAATGGAAAGCGAAGGTTCGGATATTTTAAAATTAGAGAATTATATTAATTCATTTTGGAACGCCCTTTAATATTAGCAAAGCGTATTGGGAACTATTGAATAGCCGAGACTGTAAAGGATCTCCCAACAAGAGCGCCGAATTTAATTTGAAAGAAAAACACATTTATTTTTTGAATTAAGCAAACATTTTATTTCAACATAAAGAAAAATAGTTCCGATTGAACGTAAAA